GCGACCGAGGAGGCCTCGGGCATTACGCGACCGAGGGGGTGGCCTCGGGCATTAAGCGACCGAGGAGGTAGACTCAGGCGGGCTGCGCCGGCTTTTCTCTGGGGAAGGTCAAGGGGCCCGTTCTCTTTCGGCGCCCGCCGGGTTTCGAGCCTGATATGATGAGGGCTAAGCGCGATTAATGCATTTAAGTTCGTCTCGATTATCGTCCCCGAGGCTTGGTATGATGAATGCCTTGATGCCCGCGCTGCGCCGCAGCCCTCTGCCATGTCAGGCCGTATTTATTGCGAGGAGGCGCCTTTTTCCCCCCTTGCAGCGGACTTCGGGAGATGAGGAGTCGCCGCCTTCGGAGAGATGCGGCCGGCTTATAAGTAGCGTGAGGCAAGCTGTAGGGGGAACATCTTTTCCTCTGAACGCGTCGTACTGCCTTGTGTCTCCTTGCCCTGTCTGTGCTGACCGTCCTTCCCCTCCTTGCCGAAGGTCAGTAAGAATGGCGTCCTCTTCTTCCTGCTCACCTTCTTCTTCATCAAAGGCCGGCGAGGCGGCGGCTTCGTCGGGTCCTACGTCGTCGTCGGAAGGGAAGGCGACCAAGGCGCTTGAGGCCTTGATGTGGCCCCACGATCATGACTCCACCGTGAGCGAGTCAGTGCTGAGTCTCCTCCGGGATCGCTATGGCGTCCCGGAGGAGTTTGTCCTTCAAGCTCCTGAGCCTGGCCAACGTGCATACGACCCCATCCCTAGGGGCTTTGCCCTTACCCTTGATGCTTTAGAAGCCGGGCTACGCCTCCCTCTGCACCCTGTCATAGTTTCCTGCCTTTCCTGGTGGCGCATCTCCCCTTCTCAAATGGCACCGAACTCGTGGCGCTATCTGGCGGCGTTTTTAGGCGAGTGCCATTACGCCGACATACCCCCGACTCGTGCCCTCTTCCTATCCTGCTTCCGTCTTTCCAAGGGGTCGGGGGGTTACTATCTGTCCGCCCGAGCGGGTTTCAAAGTGAGCGGGGCCCCTTCCAATAACAAGGGGTGGAAGGAGCGCTTATTTTTTGTTAGTCGCTCGGAAGACTGGGGGTTCGGCGTCCGTTGGGTGGCGCGTGTGATAGACAACACCACCCCGGTTTTGGATGACGATGAGCGCCTAGGGCTCCATCGGCTCAGGGAAATCCTCCCATCCTCCCGAGCCATCCGGAGCATGTCTGAGCGGTAGTTAGTGGAGGCGGGACTTAGCCCGGCACCTCTAGGTACGCTCAGAGGAGCGGTTCCCTTGGGGGTTTCCTTTCCTTATCTTTGCGTGTTGTCGCTTGACTGACAGTCATTCTAATCCTTCTTGACAGACATGGTGCGTCTCGAGGCCTTGCGTGGCGGGAAGACTGCTGCTGCGTCGGGCCGTTCGTCCTCCGTCGCCAAGGTGGGTTCGAAAGAGACTCCCGTAGACGTCGAGGCGGGCCGGTCTCGGAAGAGGGCGCGGGCGCCGTCAAGTGGGGGTCTCGAGGTGGTTGCCGCTCCGGCAACGGGAGCCGCGGTGGCGCCGGCAATGAAGGGTGCCGCTGGAAGCCTCAGAGAGGGCGAGGCCGGTCCGAGCGGGGGCGCGGTGGCGGAGGCGGCTCGCCAACCTTCCGTCCGCGAGCTTCTCTGCCTTCCGCTAAGGGAGGATGAGCCGTACCTGATGCGGGAGGTGGGTGCTCTTCCCCGCGGCGTGGCCACCGATCCTCTGGTGGCCCGGTGGGATGGCCTTACCCGGGGCACCCGGGTGTGGGCCGACGGAGATATCGCGGGCAGGTTCATCCGTGGCGGGCTTCATCCTGACATAGCCCGGGACCTGTACTCCCTGCCCTCCGACGCTCTGCTCAGCAAGGCAGCAAAGTCCTTGTTGTGGGTAAGCGTCCTTTCGCCCCTGGGTTTGGCTGTTTTTTGAAGGGCTTAATTCCAACTTTGACCTCGTCCTTCCCTCAGGGCAACCACTATGCCGCGGCTTTGATGGACCGCGTTCGAGACGCGGGGCAAGTCATCGCCGCCCTGAGCTGCCGCAATGTCGAGCTCCGGCGGCAAGTGGACGAGGCCCAGGCCGGGGCCGGCCCCGAGGCGGTGGCCGCGGCTGAGCAACGTGCCTTGGGCTTGGAGGCCGAGGTGGCGCGGCTGACTTCGGAGCTCCAGTCGTCCACCGAGCGACTCGCGGAGTTGCAGACGCAGCTGGAGGCGTCCGAGGAACGCAACGCGGAGTCGTAGGCTCACATGAGGGCGGCAATGGTGGAGTCCCGCTCGGCGAGGTCCGACTCCATTGAGCTGGTTCGGCGTCTGGAGGAGGCGCGGGCCGAGGCGTCTGGGGCTACCGAGGCCCTGGAGGCCGAGATCCGTCAACGGCCGGCAAAGGACAAGAAGCTGGTCGAGGACTACAAGGCTTCCCCGGGCTTCCAGCTAGGCCTTGTCCGGACCGGGCGGGTCTCGTACGAGTATGGATATCGGGTTGCCCTTGCCCATTTCAAGGCACGCAACCCCGACTCGGAGGTTGTGGAGGATCCCTTCGGCTCCTTCCCCGAAGACCTGGGCGTCGATATGCCAGCCGATGTTCCTTTTGATGACAGCCCAGACGTCCCCGAGGATTGACATCCTTTGTATTTTATTATTATTATTATTATTATTTTTTTTTTTTTTTTGTAACACCCCCTTTGCTTTCGAATGAATGTGATTTATCTTCTTTCTCAGAGTTCCATGACCGGCCGAGTCCTATGGAAAGAACTTTTTGAGATTTTGTGCATTCCAGGTCCTTGGCAGGGACTGACCTTCCGTTGTGGCGAGCCGGAATGCGCCGGTTCCGATGACTTCAGTCACCCGATAGTGGCCTTCCCAACTGGGGGCTAGCTTGCCTCTTTGTCGGGTCGGGTCACTGACCTCAGCCCGCCGCAGGACCAGGTCGCCCAATCTGATAGGTCGGGGTCTTACCTTTCGGTTGTAGACCCTTGCGACCGCCCTCTTGTAGGAAAGGGCTCTTACATGTGCGTCGGCACGTCGCTCTTCCAGTAAGTCGAGGGCGGCTCGGAGTCCTTCATCCGAGGTTTCCTCGTCGTAGCCTTTCGTCCGGAGGGTGGCAAT